CAGATTTTTTAATATGGTGTCTAGGTTTGTCTTAGCTTTTCTTCCAAGAAGCAAGCGTCTTTTAATTTCATGGCTGCAGTTACCAGCTGCAGTGATTTTGGAGCCCAGCCTGTCACTGTTTTGACTTTTTACTCATCTACTTGCCATGAAGTTATGGAACCGGATGCCATGATCTTAGTTTTTTGAATGCTGTGTTTTAAGCTAGCTTTTTCCACTCTCCTCTTTCACTTTCATCAAGAGGCTTCTAGTTCTTCACTTTCTGCCATGAGGTTGGTGTCATCTGCATATCTGAGGTTATTAATATTTCTCCCAGCAATCTTGAAGCTTGTGCTTCATCCAGCCTGGCATCTTGCATGATGTACTCTGCATACAAGTTAAATAAGCAGGGTGACAATATACAGCCTTGACGTATTCCTCTCCCAATCTGGAATCATTCCGCTGTTCCATGTCTAGTTCTACCTGTTGCTTTATGACCTGCATACAGGTTTCCCAGGAGGCAAGTAAGATGGTCTGGTATCCCCATCTCTTTAAGAATTTTCCAGTTTGTTGTGATCCATACCATCAAAGGCTTTAAGCATAGTTAATGAAGCAGAAGTATGTCTTTTTCTGAATTCCCTTGGTTTTGCTATGATCAAGTGGATGTTGGCAATTTGATCTCTGGTTCCTCTACCTTTTCTAAATCCAGCTTGTACATATGGAAGTTCTCGGTCCATATATTGTTGAAGTCTAACTTTGAAGGATTTTGAGCATTACCTTGCTAGCATGTAAAATGAGTGCAATTGTGCAGTAGTTTGAACATTCTCTGGCATTGCCTTTCTTTGGGACTGGAATGAAAATTGGCCTTTCCAGTCCTGTGGCCACTGCTGAGTTTTCCAAATTTGCTGGCATGTTGAGTGCAGGACTTTATTTTTATTTATTTATTTTTTTTAAGTACCAAGGATCTTTATTCTTAGGTCTGATATTCAATCTGTGGCTGCAGATAATTCGTCAGTGCAGGACTTTAACAGCATTGTCTTTTAGGATTTGAAATAGGTCAGCTGGAATTCATCAGCTCCACTAGTTTTGTTTGTAGTAACAAACTAGGAACTACACTCCAGGATGTCTGGCTCTAGATGAGTGACCACACCATCTTGGTTATCCCGGCTGTAAGGCCTTTTTTGTACAGTTCTGTGTATTCTTGCCACCTCTTCTTAATCTCTTCTTCTTGTTAGGTCCTTACTGTCCTATGTTTCTGTCTTTATTGAGCCCCTCTTTGCATGACATGTTCCCTTGGTATCTCTAATTTTCTTGAAGAGATCTCCAGTCTTTCCTATTCTGTTGTTTTCCTCTATTTCTTTGCATTGTTCACTTTTTTTTTCATTTATTTTTATTAGTTGGAGGCTAATTACTTTACAATATTGTAGAGGTTTCTGTCATACATTGACATGAATCAGCCATGGATTTACATGTATTCCCCATCCCGTTCCCCCCTCCCACCTCCCTCTCCACCCGATCCCTCTGGGTCTTCCCAGTGCACCAGGCCCAAGCACTTGTCTCATGCATCCAGCCTGGGCTGGTGATCTGTTTCACCCTAGATAATATACATGTTTCACTTTTAAGAAAGCTTTTTTATCTCTCACTGTATCAGAGCCCTTTTCCTCCCTCTCCTGTCCTGTCCACCCCAGGATTCCTTGTCCTTTGCAAATACTTGAGTTAGTCTCGCCAGTTGCTCAGAGACTACACAGCAGCTCCTTAAATGAGAATCAAATAACATCAGCAACATTAGCAACAGATGGCCCTTGTCTTATATTTCTCAACCCCATTTCTATAGCAGTGCTTTGTTTAAGATCACACAGCTGAGCAGTGTCAGCAAGCTAGCTGGGTGGTCCTTTAAAGGCTGAGGACAGCAGTGGAGACCCGGAGATGAGAGGAGGTGCTCTAAGCCAGAAGCAAACAAGCCTTCAGCTTTATCCTTGGCTCCTTCCCACTAGTGACACCACCACCGCGCTGCTGCCACCTGCCGTCGAAGGCCCTGAATTGGCGCCTCGGAGAAGCCTAGGTAGTGACCTGTATGCTTGGCAGGGTGGGACATCGTGCCTTCCAGGTCACACTAGCCCCCAAACCTGGTGTCTGGGAGTTAGTATGGGGGGCACTTAGTCAAGTGGTAATCTCGATGAGAGAAGCAGAGATGGGCGACAGTCCTACAGGTGGTCCTGTCAAAACTAGAAGGTGCAGAACTGAGGTTTTTATCTTAGTAAGTGGCCGAATGTCCCACCTACCACTCCCCACACGGCCCCCTCAGGAAGGCCTTAGGTTGCCGCTGCACAGCAGAATAAAGCGGATGGGCCAGCGTTCAGCAAGGGCAGTCAGGGTTTTGACTTTCTGCACTAAGGACAAGTGTCCCCAAAACTGCCTCCCAGAAACCTCAGTGTATGGGGAGTGTGCCTCTGTCCTCTCCCCACTCACCTCCCTTCTCACTCAGGCTGAATAAGGAGTATTTGAATTCCTAAATATGCAGAATATGGTTCTAGCTGCCAGATATCCTCCAAGTCTTGGCTCAGTCACCTCCTATAGGGTGCTACCCCTAACTCCTTCTAATTGGGAATATTCACCTCCCTATAGAGCCCACAGTTCTTTCGAGAACCATTACTTGACTTTGCTGTTTATTAGCTTCAGTCTCCTCTAGGTGTCTTCCTACATTAGAGTGAAAACACTTTAATGTTATTACTCACAGAGCCTAGCTTGATGCCTTGCACACACTAGATGTGCAGTGCTTGGTAGATGAATGAATAAATGGACTTCAGTACAAAAGAGGAAACACAGAGAATGCTTTTGGGAAGTACAGTATTTCTAGATTGGCTTAGATGAAATCTAGTGTATCCCAGCTAGGCTGGGATCAGCCTGTGAGGACTTGGGAGGTCTCAGGACTCTTCTTAGAGCCCAGCCAAGTATATTCCAGGGAAGGCACTTTCCAACTCCTGGGATGCAAGCCACTTCGTTGCACTCAAAATGGCCTAATGGGGGTGGATGGGGTCGGTGAGGGGTGGGTCATCCTAGGTTCTTGCCCTGTTCCACCTCAGAGCATACTAGAAGCTCAGGAATATGGTCCCTCTAGAAACTGGATATGGAAAAATGCTAGGAAAAAATACAGAAAGCAAAAATGTCCTCAGATTTAGGAATGCCAGCCAATAGAGCAGAATCTGAGTGATCTGCACATCACCTCAGCAGAACCCACAGGTGAGACTGCCCTCTGCTTCTTCCCTCTTCCATCCAGAATGCAGACTGATGAATTTGATCACTGTGAAGGTAGCAGCCCCCAGGTCTAAGGAAAAGACTTTTGTAAACTGCAGACAAAGGGACCGGCCAACCACTGGTCTCTGCCACACAGCAAAGATGCACTGCCTCCTGGAGAACCAGTTAGACCACAGTGAAACACTGCAAAGGTGATGCACTTTCTAGAACAGCTGCCTTATACCAGATGTGGGAGATCTCAGAATCTATCCCCTGCTGACCACCTGCAATTCAGAAGTGGGGAAAGACCTGAACTTAGATGCTATCATCTAGGCTGAAGGGCAGGAACGCATGGTTCAGCCACCACAGCCACTGTTGCAAGCCCACACATTAGGCCATCCCATCTCAAAGGGGGCGGGGAGAGATCTAACATACGCATCACAATCCATAGCCCCACTTTCCACCTCTGAGGACACACCCTCTGTACCCATTTATGTGTCCTACTGGTTGGCATCCTGTCAGGACTGTGTTCTAAACAGACACACTGGATCAGCCCACGCATCAGGATCAGGCCTGAATTGTGTCACATGCCCATTAGACATCGCACCCAAAAGCTGTGCAAATACTGATCCATGGGTCACTTTTTTCCCACTAACAAATTCAGAGAACATCAAAGATCAGAGTTAGAAAGGACCCTTGCCGCCACTCAGTCCATGGGACCACAAAGACTCAGACATGACTGGATGACTAAGCGCACACACACCGTTCAGTCCAACTCCACATCCCTATCTCATTTTCTGGATGACCAAGAGGTGACAGGGAGCCCCAGTGACCCGAATGATATAAGGCAGAGTTGGGCTGGCACACAGTTGCTGAGGCCAAGTCCAGAGTTCCTTCAAGTCTTTGTCTTAAGCCATTCAGGGCAGGGAAATAGTAGCTGCTGACCGTGGGAGTTTTCCCTGGAGGCCAGCTAATCTAAACAGCACGTCAAGCATCACATATGGAACCTATTCCATGGGATTTTCCTGTGTGAAGGGGATTCCCTCCAAAGATAGCAGTAACTACTTCGTGGCAGTGCTTGGCCCACGGCCCCGTTCAGGTCCGGAAGATGAAGGTGCTTCCTAACCAAACGGGTTGTTTTTCTTTTTAATTCTAGAAATGAAACATCTGGTATCTGTTCCTTGCTCCTGTTGTTTACAGTGGTTTCTCTCTTCTTTTAAAACTAAAGCACCAGTCCATAGGGAGGCCTGTCATCAGCAACCACCGCTCCAGACCCTCCGCCCAGTGGCCAGCAACAGTCCCTACTAGAATCAGCAGATGGCCCCACTGGAGGCAAACCTGTAACCATGGGTCTGGGGTATTTTGCTCCTGGGCTCTCCTCTGGGGGCCATTTAGGGTAGAACCAATGGCCCCACACAGCCCGCATCAACCACACAGAGGAAGCGCCATCCTCCAGAGTGTCCCGAGGCCTCTCGTACAGTGCATGGCTGGACTCCCAAGGGCACAGGTGGTGAAGAAGAGGAAGTGACCAGATGGTGGCTTCCTGCCCAGCTGAGGTCTCTAGCCCCCTCTACACCCCACGTCCCACACGTCTCGGCCACACCTCCATCTGCTTTGTTTTGTGCTCTCAATGCCTCTGGTCCCATCACTGGGACCAACAAGAAGCCCGCGTGTGGTCTCACACAGACACTGAAGTCACTTACAGACATTGTTTTCAGTGTTTTTTCAGATGACTGCGTATCAGATGTTGCTCCCGGGACCCTGGCACAGATGGTAACAGGCATCCACCCTCATCTCTGCTCTGCGGCTAAAACATCCCCCTCTTCGATGCTCTGAAGCTGCAGCCTCTGACCTGCGAGAGTTCTGCTGCCTCGGCGGCTCCCAAAGCCAATTCCAGGGACAGTCCGAGCTGTAAGCAAGACCCCAGGCAAAGCCTCCTCCCCAAATAAGTTGATTTTGGCTTCAGCCTCTATGGCTTTGGCCAAGCTGGTTGCGTAACTGTCCAAGGACTTGTGCACATCAGCTTTCACGTGAAGAATGGGGTTCTTGGCAGCTTCTAAGAAAGAAGGCAGAAAAAGGGTTAGTGAGGGGCCGGGACTGACGGCTACCCAGGATTGGCCTGCTGTTGCTTTACTGACCTGGGGAGGGGAGACAAACAGGTGACCAGTGTGGGTTCTGGAGTTTAGAGTCCCTAGGCGACAATTCCCTACTTACTATTTGGGAAATCTGAGAAGTCATTTAATCTAATTTCAGTTTGCTAATCTGCAAAGAGATCATGGCACACCCCTTACGTCATAGGGTTCCTGTGACAATTAAACAGTTCTTCCTAAGGTGCTTTAGGTTAGGTCTGGCTCGTAGGAAAGGCTTGATAAATACTTTCTATTGGGCTTCCCTGGTAGCTCAGTTGGTAAAGAATCTACCCGCAATGCAGGAGACCCCAGTTCAAGTCCTGGGTCGGGAAGATCCGCTGGAGAAGGGGCAGGCTACCCACTCCAATATCCTTGGGATTCCTTTGTGGCTCAGCTGGTAAAGAATCTGCCTGCAATGCGGGAGACCTGGGTATGATCCTTGGGTTGGGAAGATCCCTTGCAGAAGGGAAAGGCTACCCACTCCAGTATTCTGGCCTGGGGAATTCCATGGACTGTGTAGTCCATGGGGTCCCAAAGAGTTGGACATGACTGAGTAATTTCATTTAGTTTACATCTGTGAAAGAGTCCTCTGGTCTTTCAGCTCCCTGGAATGTGTAGCAGTTTGGGCTATAAACTTCCACAAACCTGAATGTTGTCTCTGGCCTTTCCACACCCATTCAGAGATTCCTTAGAGCTATGGAGAACCTCAGGATTTAAAGGACATTAAAGGTCAGGTGCCCTTTCCCCAAGGAGTAGGATCCCTGACAACTTAGGTGAACAGGTCGGGGGGGTAGGGGGGCCTTCAATTTCACATTCTGATGACTTTTAACCTCACTGCCTATTTTTCTCCTGACATTTTGGAGGGAACAGCTTATCCCCTAATCCTCATGTTGCTTGGAGTGGGCAATTCCCATGCCATGCTCCAAGAAGAGAAGGGAGGAACACGTGATCTCTCCCTGCCCTGCCACTCACTCCCAGGAGGACTGGTGTGGTCTTGAAAGTGCCTGCCCCTCGCCCTGTCTGCAAAGAAGGGTGCCTTTGATATATGGTCCCCCAACATGGAGGCTAATGGAGCGAGCTTGGCCATATGTGGGCTGGGTGGATTGGGGAAGGCTTCAGTCCATTTTTTTAAAATTTGGGAATGACATATTATAAGGCCCATGAGGCTGCTAATCCAAGCTCTGTTCTTGAATCTACTTTCCCCATAAAACAGACGTCATCTGCCTCCGTGACATCCGTGACGAACCCTTCCATTCATCTGGCATTGGGGTGGGAAGTGGTAGAAAAGATAGGACGAATTATGAACATAAACTCTGACGTGGCCCGTATTTATTTTCACAGCCAGCATTTCTGAAGAAATTATATCAAAGTTCCTGGACGCCTCCCTCACATCTCATTCAGAGGAAAAGAGATTCTTCCATCTGTGGGCAGCCTGGATGGCACTTCTGTCAGCATATCTGGAAGGGAAACTAGACCCCAAATTCCAGAGGCAACTAGAGTGCTGAGGGCTGAATTCAGAACAGGTGGGGCCAAAAATGCAGGAGCCGGACTACAGCAGAACTGAGTCCTCTCACAGGACCCACGTGCCCCAGCACCCTCAAGAGGGCAAGACCGTCGAGGTGGCAGCTCCCCCTGCCATGAAGTTGGAGCACTTCTTGGGCCATTATTTTCACCTTCCACACGTGAAAGCTGCGGCTCAGAGAGGCCGAGTTCAGATTCATATCCACAGAGCATCCATAGGGAAAGAGACTTTGGAGGGCTCAGAGACTGGTGTAACTAGTCAGGTGACTTCCTGAGAGGAGATGGGAATCAGTGTGTGTGCGCGCGCGTGAGTGTGTGTCTGTGCAGCCCACTGCTGGCCCAGCCTTAGACGCTGTTTGCTCTAAGAGTCAGAAGCCTAAGGACTCAAGTGAGAGCGGTCGGGTCCGCAGCGACATGCGGGTGGGCGAAGGCGGAACCCCTAGTGTGCTGGGCGTGGGGGCGGGCCCAGCCGAGGAATTTTCCTAAGATCCTTTCACGTCCCCATTTCCCTGAAGCCATCAGTCACAGACACCAAACCTCTGATCTGCTCTACTTCATCTTCAAATGTCACCGAGCTCCTCCTCTTGGGTGGGCACGCGCCATGGGAGGGAGCGTTGTCATCTGACGTGTAGTCTTCAAGCAGCATGACATCTGTTCCTAAAACCAAGGGCAGATTGCGCACCTCCACTGGCAGTGCCAGATCCTCTCGCCTTCTGTCCCACCCTCCCTCAACACCCCTTGCATCCCTCTCCCATTTATTCAAACCCACAAGCAGGTGCGACCAACTGCCCTGCAGATTTGTCCAGGACACACGGTGTCTCTCGTCCCATTTCAGGGAGTTTGCAGCCAGCCACTGGGGCTGCTTCTCAGGCACACCAAAAACAGCAGTGGTACCCAAGTGGATGGGTTACAGCCAGGACGAACATACTCAGAAGTGCTGAGTCAGCCAGACCTGGACTGGGGAAGGGGAGTCGGACTCAGTGGAGGAGGGAGGCGTTGTTAAAGGGGCTTTGCGTTCAGAGTGATTTTTCTTACAGTTTGAATGTCTATCCTTCTAGTTAAAATATGCTGTGCTAAATAAACATATAAACGCTGAATGTGTAAAGTTCTTTAGGGATCAAAAAGGGATTGAAAAATATGCCCCTCAAAAAGCAGGGGGAAAGGCAGACAGGAAGGAAGTTCTACTAGAGGGAACTGGGTAGACAGGTGGCGAGGGGTGGGGAGGGGAGCAGAGCTTAGCAGAACTCTGACCCCACCCTGGGGCAGATGCTGGGACCAGCCCTCCTCTGTCTCAGTCTCTAGCCTGCAACCCTTCAAAGCCTGGTGCTCAGCAAACTAGGGAGAATGAGCCAGGAGTTCCACGTAAGCTCTCCCAGGACAACCTGCACAGATGTGCTCCTCTGGCGGACTTTACAACACGGTGGTTATGTTATACAGCTCAGGTTCCCAAGTTGGACAGACCTAGGATCACAAACAGGTCACTCAGTCCTTCGGCATCCTCCAAGGTGCACACAATGGGGATGATTCTGTCCACCTCACGGAATGTCAGAACTGTGAGCTGGGCCGTGTGAAGCTGTGATGCGGTGCCTGGGGCACAGCAGGAGCCGAGTCAGTGGAACCGTCCCTCACGAGGACGTGGCTAAGAGCAGGGAGGCTGAAGCTCGCACTCCAGTCTGCGTGAGCCCAGAACCCAAGCTCCTTCTTCTGGCTCCAACACGTTCCCTTACTCCTTTTCGCCTGGCCACCTCCTATTCACTCTACAGGTTTTAACATCACTTCCTCAGAGAAACTCTAACGCTCCCATCCCCAAGGGTTCTCTCCCCAACGGGGAGCACGTACAAGTCCGCTCTGTTTCCTCATGGCACTCGGCTTCCTCTCCCACAGCTCTCACCACTGTTACGACCTTTTTAAATAGCAGAACTACTGAGGTATAATTTGCAGCCCACACAATTTGCCTATTTAAAGCCACATGAGGGCCATTCACCAGCACATCTCTAGAACATAAGGCAGTATCTGCTCAAGGCAGGGGCTTGGCAAGTAAATATCTGTTTAGTGAACAAATGCCCCTGCCTCTGGATCCCGACTGGTTGTCTGAGAAGACCTAAGACGGCCTGAGGAGCAACAGCGACTTTCCTGTCCTTCGAGTTACAAGAGGGACTTTGGTCTACAAGGGAGGCTGTGACCAGCTGTTTAACCCTCTGGGCTGCCTGTGGGGGCGCATTCTCAGGGAATGTTCTGCCTCCAAGGGAGATGCTCCAAGACAGGAGGCCTGGTCTGGGTCCCTGCCTGTGGCCTTTCACCCTAGAATTCCGCAATACAGGCTCAGATGAGGAAACAGATCAAGACAGAGAGGAGTTTCCGAAAGGTTCCCGCTGGCGAGATGGAAGAGCAGGGAGAGAAATATTCATGGCTAGCCTGCTGTAGTGAGGTCCGGGCTGTAGAACCCTGGGTTCACGCCCTGCAGGTGGACAGATGCCACCCTGGGATGCGGTGCTTCATCAGCTCTGTGAATGACCGATGCAGGGACACTGCCCATCCCTGCCATGAGCCTCTCACCTCACGAGGTGCTCCAGCTACGTGCTGGTGAGCACAGAAGTGGACTGTGATATCACAGAGCCCAGTGCTGAGGGGAAGAGCCCTGGGCTGGCACCATCCCCTGGGCAGCAGCTAAGGGAGGGTCTGGAGGATATTGATGGAGATATGTTTCATCAGAGAGATCAAGTTCCCCATAGGTAGATCTTGGGGCATGTGAAAACGTGATGAGGGAGAGAGGGACAGTGCCCAAGTTCTGGGGCAAATGGGGAGCCTCAAAAGTTTAGAAGACTGAGTAGCTTGTCTGAGATAACACAGCTCTTAAAAAGCCAACTCAAGACTGAAAACCAGGCAGGTTGATTCTGGAGCCTGCACTGGTCAGTGGTTATTATAATTCACATAACAATTCATGATCATTTGGCATTTTAACTTTGAAGGCTTTCACTTAATTTGAATCTCACAACAACCCTGCATGGCAGAGAGAACAGGAGCCGAGATTCTCGTTATACAGAGGAAGAAACGGGCGCAGAGATGCTGAAAAGCAAAAAGCCATGACTGGGAACCCAGACTCTTGACTCTCACCCCCACACCCTGGGAGACGCTCCTCCCGCCCACATGCTCCTGCCTGGAACTGGGGAAATGCAGCAGGTGGGAGGCTTACCTGAGTCCTGAGAGCAACTGAAGCCAGTGTCCCCGGTGCTGCTGCTGTTCCCCAGGGGCTGTTCGCCTGCCATGAGGGCCGTGAGGTGTGGGGACAGGCCCAGGTCTGCAAGGCAAGGTCGACACTGACTGCACGATTGTGCCCAGGCCCACTCTCCTGTCCACCCTGCTCTCCCTGCAAAGGGCGCTCCGCATTCACTGAAGACACGAGGGTCTTGGCTGCCTGTCCTCCACTTCACCCCTTGTTCTTATCCCAGGGAGTCTGTGACAGGATTCACTGGGTCCTACCAGAGGGGAAGAGCTCATGACAAATGTCAGACACCAACAAGGCAGGTGGGAGAGAAAACACAGTGAACAGTCCTGGGAGATCTTCCAGTTACCACAGCATGTGGGTGCTCCTTTAACTTCCAAGCCTATCTGAATACCAAAAGGTATTTTTTTAGAAGAGGCTGAAAGCCCCAAGCAAAAAGGATGTTTGTAAGTTGGAAGGTAGGGGGTGGGCAATGAAACTGACCCAAAAAAGAGCAGAGACTGGCAACAGGGGAGGACTGGAAGGAGACCCCCAAAAGCTTAAGAACTGAAGGCTCAGAGTCTCTGGGCAGGTCGGGCTCAGTGGACAGACTCTACAGGAAGCAGTGGGTCCCCTCCATTGCTAGTCCCAGCTCAGGCTCCAGGGACCTGCCCTCCATGTCGGCAGGAGAGCAGACAGAGTGAACTGGGCAGCTCTGGCCTTGGTGATGCCAGGCACGTGGCAACGTGTAAAAACTGAGGGAACAATGAGAGGCTGCCTGTTAACAGTGGGACCCCCGCCCCACTGCTTTACTCAGCCTGGGCAGGGGGCCAGAGGTCTCGTCCCCAGGGAAACCCAGCCCGTCAGAGGGAAAAGCCCCACAGACCCCGAGAGCTGGGCAGCCTGTAAAACGGCCCAGCCCCTCCAGCCTTCAGTCTGTGCGCCCAGGGCTGCCTCATTAACCATGAGGGACAGTGACGATCAGGAGACATGTAAGGAAAAGCACCAGCAGAAATGGGGGAACAAAAGAGGAAGGAATAAAAAAGGATCTGCAGGACACCATGCAGGGCGCTTAAGAAAACCAAATTCTAATTGGGTGTCCTCAGAAAATTAAGAAAATAACCAATCTATGAACAAAAGAGCTGGAGGCCACAAAGACCATGGAGATAACAGAAAGGCACTCTTGGCAATTAAAAAAACAGCACAAAAAGCGAAACTCCTCCCATCTCCTGAGGAAGACCTACCTGCCGTGAAGGCCCTGCCGTGACAGACCACCTGTGTTTCCCCACAGCACGCTTACAGACAGGTGAGGCCTCTGCCTATCCTTTCATCGTAATTCCTCAAGGGAAGAGGCGACAGTACACACGCTCTCCTTCCTCTCTCAGAGGCAAGGAGGAGATGGTGGGGGCATGGCAGCCCATGCAGACAGAGCTGCTCTTCTCATGAAGCATGAAACATGCGGATACCACTTTCGCAAGGAGCTGCCCCCTGGTGTCGGGGGCTGGGCCCAGAGAAGATTCCAAACACGATCACCCACCTGCAGGGTCTTGGCCTCAGAGTATGACTATGTCTCAGCAGGAAGCCGGGCTTGAGGAAGGCGGCCTGTGGGGCAGCGTCCACTGCCAACTGGAATGGCGGAGGCCACAGTGGGCCTTGGACACATCTCTGAGGCTGTGGTGAAAGCGAAACAAGCCCTGGTCTCCCCAGTGGGAGGACTCTGCACCAGGCCAGTGCAGCTCAGCTAGGAGATCTGGAAACAGGGCAGCCAAGTGGAGACTCTTTATCCTGTGTTTATCCAGCGTTTATCACTAGAGAATGGGCGCAGCAACCCTGAGTTTCTCCACATGAAGCAACAACACACTAGACTGGGCTCAGTCCAGCCCTTTAAAAAAAATTTTTTTTAAAGAAAGAAAAAGGCACAAAGTGACAGGCCCAGAGATCAGATCAGAAGCCTGGCGCAGCCGAAAGAGTCACGAGTGTCTTTCAGAGGCTAAAGGAACAGGAGTACAATTCTGGGGTGAAACGGGCACTTTGAAGTAACCAGAAGACCGCTCGGTGGCACAGGAAAGGAACCTGGAGAAGCAAGTGGGGGAAAATTCAGAGGCCCCAGGCCTCTTACCCTTCAGTGCAAACCTTCAGTGAAGGCCTTGAGGTGGGCCATTTCCTCTAGTAAATGGAAGTCAGTGTCCTTTTCTCCAGAAAATAACTGGGAAGGCTCTATCCCCAGTTTCAGGAGCTTCGAGCATCAGGTGGGAGTGGCATCTGGAGACGCCTCCCTCCATGCCTGGGTGTCGGGCCTGGTGGCAGTGTTGCCAGATGAGCTCCTGGCCCTTTCTCCTGAAATCCTCAGCTTTGCTCCAATCGCCTGCAGCCAACTATCCGCTTTGGATTTGTAGTGTGGCCTTCACTGAAGGACTGATGTTGAAGCTGAAACTCCAATACTTTGGCCACCTGATACAAGAGCTGACTCATTGGAAAAGACCCTGATGCTGGGAAAGATTGAGGGCAGGAGGAGAAGTGGATGACAGAGGATGAGATGGCTGGATGGCATCACCCACTCAATGGACATGAGTTTGAGTAAACTCTGGGAGTTGGTGATGGACAGGGAGGCCTGGCGTGCTGTGTGTGGTCCATGGGATTGTGAAGAGTCGGACATGACTGAGCGACTGGACTGAACTGAACTCCTGAGGCCAAATATTAGCATTTAGTGCACCTTTCAGCCGGAGAAGGCAACGGCACCCTACTCCAGTACTCTTGCTTGGAAAATCCCATGGATGGAGGAGCCTGGTGGACTGCAGTCCATGTGTCACAAAGAGTCGGACATGACTGAGCGGCTTCACTTTCACTTTTCACTTTTATGCATTGGAGAAGGAAATGGCAACCCACTCCAGTGTTCTTGCCTGGAGAATCTCAGGGACGGCAGAGCCTGGTGGGCTGCCGTCTATGGGGTCGCACAGAGTCGGACACGACTGAAGCGACTTAGCAGCTGCAGCAGCAGCACCTTTCAGCACTAGAATCAATGTCCACTCCAGAGCTGAACTACCCACCATGAGGTGGCCCTGCCTGGCAACTCTCAGGGAGGCCAGAGATTTCAATTCCTCAGGGAGCGCCGTGCTAATCTGCTAATGAGACTTCACAGGCAGAAAGTATCATAGTGGCCTGGTGAGAGCTGGTACCCAGGGAAAACCTAAACTGATGCACTTTTTCAGTTTGGGGTTAATAGGATGAGAAAACCAAAATTCATGGATTATGGGTGAAATCTACATATGAAATCTTAATAAACATGACTGCCTATGTAGAACTCCTGGCATCTCAGGGGCAGTAGAAAACTCCAGGTGTTTGTGGAATGCACTGCACTTGCACACAAGCACTGTTAGGAAAGTTTATAATTCCATGTACTGAATCCTTTGGTGAGCACTTTCCAGGTGCTCATGCAAATGGAGAGGAACAAAACCGAGAGAGGGCTTCTGAGTCTTTTCTTGCTGGCTTTGGAACGAATCCTATCACCCTTCTTAACGCTGTGCTAACAGGAGAGAGCAAGTTCCTTCTCTGAGTGTAAGAGAGGTAGCCTGAAGCAGGCTGGGGCAGGGAAAGCCCACTGGGGTTTAGGCGTCTGCTGCAGATGCAAGTTATGCCTACAAAGAGTGCAGATCAGGGTCTGCTCACAGCCCTGGCTCAGCCAGAGGACAGGGATGCAAGGTGGAGGCCAGGGTTCTCCCTCCTAATCAGAAAGGCCATGGGTTTTCCTGGTATGACCAGAATAGGGTTCAGGGATGGGATGGGCACTGCATTCTGCTTTCTTTTTAAGACTCTTGCCAATGGTGTTGCCCAGCTCCTAAAGTCAGGACATCTGGGGAAGAGACAGCAGAGATGCCCCCAACTCCGATTCAAGGGAAGGCCAACAATTCAGAACCCATCATCCCACACGCTCTTCAGCCCAACAACAACCCACAAGACTGCTTCTCCCTCAATGAAGAGACTGCTCACTGCCTTGAGCTTGCCAGTGCAACCACAGATGATGTCTTCCATCTGTGCTCACAGCCTTACAAGCTCTTCTGGGATAACTTCAAGTGGCTCACACAGAAAATCCTGGCCCCCAAAACAGAAGTTTCTTTTTATTCTATCTACCTTCTCCTCCTCCATTCTCTTTCCTCATTCTTACTATCAAAATGTTTATTAATTTTTTTTTTGCCCGGAAGATAATTGATTTTACAAAATCTGAACAAATAATCAGTAAAATAAAACCAAAGCCTGAATGTATTTCTCCTGGCTCACAAGTCACACTTGGTCTCATAGTCTTGCCAGTAGCAAGAGGTGGAAGTTCAGGAGTTAAAATTCTCCTATCCAGAGAGATTTTTTTTTTTTCTCCTATGGTCAAAATAAGGAGGGAGGTTCAAAAGGGAGAGCATATATGTATACCTATGGCTCATTCATGTTGCGGTTTGACATAAAACAACCAAAGTCTATAAAGCAATTATCCTTCAATTAAAAAATAAATAATTTTTTTAAAAGTCCCAGAATTCCTTCCTTTCTCAAGAAAAAACACTCCATGAGGCCATGAGATAAATTAGTGATGTTGGTTTGTCGCCACATGGAACAGATCTCCTATCATCACTACTCCAGAGGATAATAATTAAGAGTTGTAATTTTCACTCTCTTGGGAGGGGAGGTGGAAAGCCTATTTCCTGGAAATGAAAAATTAACTCAAGCAGTGAGTTGCCCAAAGTCATCTGGCAAGAGACTGGAACTGCTCTCTGTGGCTCTTTTCATGAATATGATCTGATAAGTGCCCTCAGAGTTTCCCTTCCAATAGCTCATCCAGGTGACAATCTCCCTCAAACAACAGAGTGGTGACTTTGGAGGCAAGATCCACCAACGCATGCTACAAACCGTGGGTGAAGGTTGAAGGGGAAATAGGATATTTTCATAACCTCAAAGTATCTCCTCTGGTGTACTTATTAATGACAACGCAAAAAGCAGTGAATCTACAGCGGGGAAACCTGCCAGACATCAACCTAACTGTATGGCCTGATAGTATTCCCCCAAAGTCCTATACTGAAGCCCTCACTCCCAGTGTGATGGTATTCACAGTGAGTTCTTGGGGAGATAATTAGGTTTAGAAGAGGTCATGAGGGTGGGAAGACCAGAGAGCTTGCTCTCTCCTAACCTTCCACCATGGCAGGACACAGCAAGAGGACAGCCAGGAAGAAAGCCCTCCCCAGAACTCGACCAGGCTGCCACTCTAGCTTCAGACCTCCAGCCTACTGAACTGTGGAAAAATGTATGTCTTTGGTTTAAGCCATATTCTATGGTATTTTGTTGTAGCAGCCCAAGCTAAGACATCAACCAAGAATCAAGAATAAAATTAGCTAGTAATAAGACCTATAGATATCTGTGCCCCGGGTATGCTTACTAGGAAGAGCATATCACCTGCCTAGCATCCTGCCAAAACAGTAACCTTGAGAACACATCAGCTACACAGAGATTGAGGGGCTGTCTACAAAATCCCTGAACAGAACTCTGCAAAAGTGTCAAGTCAGGGAAGACAAAGAAAGAGCAAAGACTGAAGAAGACAAAGGAGATGTTGTGACTGAATACAACATGGGATCCTGAACTAGATCCTGGAAGAGAAAAAGGACATCAATAGGAATATAGGTGACATCTGAGTCAAGTTTGTAGTTGTTAACAGCCATGCACTCATGGTGCTGTGGTTAGGCAAGATGTTAGCACTAGGAGAAGCTGAGGGGATGGGAATTCTCTATTGTTTTTCCAACTCTTCACTGAGTCTAAAATTATCTCAAAAGAAAAAGGTTTAAAAAAATTTATCCCAACTAGAGTAATTCCTTATCAAAGGGCATGGGATTGTGCCCAGAAACTTAGCTCTGAAATCAATTATCAGATGGAGAGGCAGCTTTAATACATATCAGATAGCGACACTTCAGTGACGGAGTGGAGGCTTGCCCTCACCACATCCTGAATCCCCAGGGATAGTGCATGGAAGCCACTGACGGGGAGGGAAGGGCTCAGGAGGAGGATGTCCAGAGGAGCAGCTGAGGAGGGAAAGAGCACTTTAAAAGGGACTCTGCCTCAAGGAGCACTGAAAGGGGGGGTGGCCTAGTCCAATGCTTAAATTCTTTTTTTTTCTAGATAGAAATAACCGTATTCTACAGGCCAGTGGGCCATGGCTGCGGTCACAGAACTCGTGTCCTCTGCCCTGCCCAGCTTGGGAAATCTGCTTGGGAATCACTGCGATGCTCCTTCCCCAAAGGAAACCTGTGCTTTAAGCCCCAAGGCTGCAGTCAGTCTGAGATCTCACCCATCAACTTGCCAGAGTGTCCAAGAGGACCATAGGCTACACCTGAGAGTGGGCATCCCTTTTCTGACAAGTTTCCAAGTTACCTGTGATCCTATTGGAAATGCTGAAGAGCCTAGACGTCCTCTGCCGCTGTACAAATGGTTCCCGGTAATACCGATCCCCAAAGCACATGCCCAGGAGTTCCTTGCGCACCGTCTTGTTCCAGAGTCCATAGATCAGAGGGTGGCAGATGGCGCTGGTAAAGGACAGCCAAGTGGCCCAGGTCTCCAGGGTTGGGGAGACACAGTTCTTCCCCCAGAGGGCCTCGGAGGTGATGACAACCATGTAGGGGCCCCAGGTGACCATGAAGGCACCAATGACCACCAGGATGCTGATGAGGGCTTTGCACTGGTTAGCCGAATAGACCACGCCCTGAAAGGCGTTCTTCCTGCTGCCCGAGGAGGAGGTAGAGGTGCTGGAGCTCTTCCTCCCGGCCCTCTGTGCGTCCACCTCCACAACGACCACAGCGCCACAATGCACCTTGCGTGCTTTGACCCTGGCCACTCGGAAGATGAAGCCGTAGCACACCACCATGACCAAGAAGGGGAACAGGGCGCACCAGATCTGCCAGAACGCGGTATAGCCGGGTTCCCGGTGCCACGCGGCCACACACATCCACTTGAACTCGTCAAACTCCACTGATGGCCAGCCAAACAGAGGTGGCAGGCAGCCGATGAGGGAGTGAAGCCAGATGTAGGCAAGCACCATCACAGCCCGGCTGCCTGTGATCTTCATTGGGTACGCCATGGGGTACACGACAGCGTAGTAGCTGGAAAAGGGATGGAGGGAGGTGAGAAGAGGCAAAATGGAGGAGAAACACACCAGGATGGATGCCCACTGCTTTCCTAGGTAGGGAGTTTGTTGGATTTCTCTCATTCCACTCAGCCACAGGGTGAGTACTTCTAAAAGTAGCACCTTCTCCCAGCCCTCCCTGGACAAGTCACAGACTGGCCACATCACGCAGCCCTGTGGGACTCTCCATCAGAGAATGACTGCCCAGGAAGAACACAGAGCTCGGGCAGCCCTGCTTCCAAGCCGCCGTGCCAGAGTCCACTCATTTTGGGGCTGTGGCTAGTCTTGAGGCATCTGCAGGAGTTCTAAGGAATCATGCATCAAACCAAATCACTTTTGTGTTTCTAACATTAATCCTTTTAGATCAGTTTTCAGAGGGTTCTCAGAAACCAGAATAACTTCTAAGGATGACGGGGTTCATTCACTCAACGAACTGAAGGCCTGCCACATGCCAAGCCTTGGGCTATGCACTGGTGTGTGTGCCCGGCCACCCAGTCGTGTCTAACTCTCTGGGACCCTGCGGAGCACAGCCTGTCAAGCTCCTCTGTCCACGGGATTCTCCAGGCAAGAATGCTGGAGCGGGCTGCCATTTCCCCTGGCTACACGCTGGAAACAGTGGTGAAAAGACGCAGAGGGTGACAGGCACAGAAGCAGAGTACGAGGCTCCGGAGTGCAAAGGGCTCCATTTAATCCTCACAAACGTCTGATGTGGTGGACGGTATCGTTATCTTCATCTTACAGATGAGGACCCAAAAGCAGAGAACGGATAGATAATCTGTCCCAGCCAAGGAAGAGGAAGAAACAAGATAAAAATCCAGGCAACCTGACTCTATAGTCCCCAACGCACACGCCAGCAATTTCCTGCAAATCCTCTTGTTCTGGAATCCACAGCCGAGGGGTGGTTGCTAATCCCTTAGCTCTGTAAGGGAGGGAGGCCTAGAGAGTTACTGATTCATACTGATGGGGCCTTGGATCCAGAGTGCAGAATCAGGGCAGACTTCTTGGAGGAGATGGCACATAAACACAGGTCTTAAGAGATCAGAGGTACTGGTCTAGGAGCAAATGAGGCAGAAAGCCAGCCTTGGCAAGGTGCGGAGATGCACATGAGCACTGCCTGTCAATGCAAGAGACATAAGAGATGCGAATTTGATCCCTGGGTCAGGAAGATTCCCTGGAGGAGAGAATGACAACCCACTCCAGTAACTCTGCCATGGGGAGAGGAGCCTGGCAGGCCTCAGTCCAGGGGTCACAGAGAGTCAGACATGACTGAGACGACTTAGCACGCATGCACTGGCTCAACAGGGAGGCTGCTCGTAGCTCAATCAGGCAAGCAAGGAGTGAAGGTGGGGCAGGGAGGCAAGGAGCCAGGGCGCTGGGGAGCACTAAGCCTTGCTGGCCAGCTGAGTACTGATGCTTTAACTGGAATGGCTGGGAGTATTAAGACCATGGGGTTGAAAGTAAATTACCACCCTCCAGACATTCTATTCAAAACAAACGCTGTTTAGTGATGGGGCTTCTGCATGAGGCACCGTGTGGAGGGACAGGGGTGACCACACTGATGCCACCTGGTCCAGGCAGGATGACAGGAAATGACCACACATTGACTGTGAAGCCACTTTTCCACCAGGGCCTTCCTGAGTCAGCCCTAAGCGCTAGCAGCTCAGAGACGGCGGCCACAGCCTGAACTGCACCAGCTGCCTGGGTAAACTCCCACGGAGGAGCCGCTGCCTCAGCCTACGCCTCTGTGTAGACTGTGTGATCAGTGGCAGGACGGGCTGCTGGCCTCAAGCCTCGAGGCCCTGCCAAGGTCTAACCTGGAGAGTGCTTCTGAGCGTGAGGCCTGAGGAGAGGGGACCGTAATTATGGGGCAGAGCACACACAGGCTATGGACACTCTGCACACAGGTATGTCTCACACTGACATCTGGGTTTGCCTCTTGCGAAGGCACTGACGCCACATGAAAGAAGCATGCCTTTGGAGCTGAAATTTCCTGGGTTCAGATTTTGATTCTGCAGTCTACTAGCTGAGTGTCCTTGGGGGGTTATCAGACCTCTCAGAGCTTCAGTTCCTTCAGCTGTAAAGTGGGAAACACTTAGGATGGGGATCAGGTCTTAACACTAAGAAAGAGAGGTTGTCAGTAATTAGTCTCCAAGGGAGATTGGGAGGTCCTGCTACCCTGTTAAAGTCTTCAAATAAACCGTGGATGCAAGTCTGGTTCAAGGACAGAATATGCCAGAATGGGGGAAAGAGCTGGGTGGGGCCTCTCTTTAAACAGCAATAGGGACAGAGCTGGGTCTTGTCCACTGAACCTTCCCTCTTCCTTCTTTTTAAAAAGTTAATTAATTAATTATTTGCAGGTCTTAGTTGCAGCACACAGGATCTTCACTGGGCCGTGCGGGATTTTCATTACGGTACACAGATCCTCTAGTTGAGGTAGGTGAGTTCAGTAACGATGGCGCAGGAGCTGAGTTGCCCGTGGCACATGGGCTCTTAGTTTCCTGGCCAGGGATCGAACCTGTGTCTCCTGCATTGCAAGGCAGATTCTTAACCACTAGATCATTAGGGGAGTCCCCCCTTCCTTCTTGAAGACAGAATCTTCATTCTGTTCCTGCAAAACTGCTGTGACCACTGAGCACCAGGGGATGAACCAGGCCGTGCTGGTGGTATCCGACCCCTTGCCAGGTGACCAGCTGAGGCACTGACCTGTGTAACAACATCTGGCAAATGAAATGTGAGGGGAGTTTGCTAGGGTAGGACTGGGGGCACATCCAGGAAGGTTTTCTTCACTCTTAAAAAAGAAACAAAGCAGGCATTTCTACTTTCCTCTGCCCATTTAAAAATCACGCAGGCCCTCTGGCCTCAGACAATACTTCAGGGACAATACCTGGGTGTGGGAGGCCAGGCCTGAGGAATGTGAGCTGTCCCGGCCTCCTTGGACGGACCCTGTTCAACCAGTCATAAAAATCATTACAATTAAAAGACAGTCCTCTGACACATATCCTTCTGGCTATTCTCAACACCAGTTAGGATTATTATTCACTGGTAAAATTTCTTTGTATCACTGGTTATCTAGAGTTTGGAGCACGAGCAATTCCACTGGGATGTAACAGTGATTCTCCCAGCTGAATCCCAGAGGCCCATCAGGGCGCCCAGGCAGGGGCTTGGTGCTGGTTCCTGAGGGATGAGTCTCCTGGGATCAGAAGAGCCCCTGAAAGGCCAGCGTGCTGCCTGTATATACCCACACCCTCCAGCAGTTGCTTTGGTTTTAAGGTTTTGGGGGCAAAATTTATATACATTGAAACGCACAAATCTACTACACCTTCATCAAGATATAAACATGCCAACATCTGCCCACAAACACACAAAAAATGGGTTTCATTGCTTTGAAACTTCATTTTTTAAGCTTAAGCTTCACTTAGGCCTAGTTTGCAAGCCTAAAAGAAAACACAGAACAAAGGCAACTCCTTATGCCCTGCAGGTAACACAGGCCAAAGTGGAGGGTTTCTTCGTTTGTTTCTCATGCTCTTACCCGTCTTCTGAGATGCTCTATCTTTTCTCCAATAACTCACCTTTAGACAGGAGCCCAAGCACCACTCTTGGTCCCAAAAGAGGCTTTCATGATGTCACGTGTAACTCAAAAGTTGTAATGGCCATAGGGGTTCCAATGCTTAGCTCTCTTGCAACGAGACCAATCACTTAGAAAACAATCCCTGTTTTTATAAGATGGCTTCACTAAAAACACAAGCAAAGTCTAAGCCAACTACAGCTACCTTGGAATGAACATGTTATATTATGTTGAAAAATCTCCTGACAGCACTATAAGTAACCATCCCACAATGCTAGTTACTTTCTTTTAAAATACTATTTTAGAGCTGAAGTTTCATTCACTCCAGTCCAGAATGAAAACATAAATATCCTAACAGGACCTTAAACCCTGACAACTTCAAGGCTAAGTCAGAGGCGACCACATCGGACTTATTCACAGGGAACATCCTCCCAGTTCAAACGATGCTGCCCACCCGGATCTGCAACCACATTGCAGGTTTAGGACACTGACATCTCAATGGTGAATTTCACTCCAGCCAACTATTCTTTTACGCTCTACCTTTGCTCTCTCATCATGGAGCTACAAGGTGGACTTTCTGGCTCATCTGCTGACCAGGCTCATGGATTTCTTTGGGTCCAGCTCATAGGGTCCTTAGCTGGGGACACATGTCAACGTCTGGAGACGATGGGGGCTGTCACAGTCGGGAGGTGCTACTGGCATTTAGCGAGCAGAGGCCAGGGGTTCCCCTCAACACCCTACACAGAGCAGCGTGTCACAAGAGAACTACCTGGCGCAACATGTCAGTTGTGCCGAGACTGACAAACCCTGAGCTAAATACACTGGGTGGAAGAGATGATCGACAATTGACTTTGCATACTGTACTAAAGGATAAAAGCCCAACCTTTGGCACCTTGGAATTGGACAAGTTACTTAATAGCCATGAGGACTTGGGCCAGTTTGCAAAACTGCACTTTGCTCATCTGCAAACGGAGTCTGATACAGTTGCTGTGAGGATTTGCTGGGATAATGTTAACAGCAGGGAGTAGTGCCTGGCCTGCAACTAACAAGACTTCAGTTGAGATCATGCTCCCTCCCCTTGTTTCTTTGACTTTCTTAAGTTGTCCCCATCTCTTTCTTCTACCCCAAGCTCTCTCTTACCCCGCTCTCCTCACTTCTCTTTTCCTACCACCTCCTCTTGCCAGTCTCCCTCTCTCTCTCACTCCCTGCCTCCTCCACCTCTTTCTCCCTCTTTTTCTCACTGTTGTTTTCCTCTCTCACCCTACTCCCCACACACGCACACTGTCACATATACAAGAGCCGCATCATTAAGTTTCCTACATAAAAGGCAAATATGCAACCTCTAAAACTACTAACATCCAGGGGTGTTAGAAGGGGTATTTGAAATCCTGATCAGATGGTAATCATTTATAATGAAGAGATCAATTAGCCAGTCCGGTCAATTTGTACTTTCAGCCACACAAGTGACCAATAATAAAAAATAAATTGCACCTGCCAAGAAAATATTTGAAGACATCAAAATTCATAGCACTATATATAAGTATATTATAGTCAAAGATCTGGGCAAAGCACTGTGCTGGCCAAATCCATCTTGCTGTGCCTGCAGAAGGAAATGAACGGTTTTCCAAAGACAACCAGGCCTTGGGGACGTGTTGTCATAGCAATGCAGAAGTCCTTTCTTAATCCATAGTTCTGTCCCTAAGTGACAGGGGGGCCAGGCTGCAGGGTCCGGGATGCCGGGATTAAAGCTCCAGTGGGGTGACTGATGCCAATTTGTCCGTACACGTCACTTCTGCCACTGCACCCTTTTCCTCTGATCTCCGGCTATGTAACACGGACCATGCCTTTTCACCATGTTCCGCCTTGCTCCTTGCTGTGTTCTCACAGTATGTTAAACACACTGGCATTATATATACGTCACACGGTCCTGAAATTACCTGGCCACGAGTCTCTCCCCCTGCACTGTGAAATCCTCCATGTGCTTCTTCAGCTGCATATTCCCAGCACCAACAACTGTGTCAGGCATACATTAGGTACTCAATAGATTTTTTATCAAATGAATAAGTGGAGGCTTTTATGCAGGAAACCTAATGATGCAGCTCCTGTGTATGTGACAGTGTGTGGGCGGGGGGTAGGGTGGGAGGGAAAAAAGACCAGAGTATGAGAAAAAGTGGAAGGGGCCCTTGCAATCCGACTCACTGTCAGGACTTCGCTCAAGGGCCACCTTTTCCCCACCCGTGGGCTCCAGAACCTACCATCAGGTTCAGCGGCGGGATGTGATCTAAGCTTCCTGACCAGGGGTTGAATCCAAGCTCCCTGCATGGGGAGGGCAGAGTCTTAGCCACTGGACTAAGAGTCCTCAGGCCACAACTAAAGAGTTCATGTGCCACGACTAAAGATTTTGAAAGCAGCAAATAACACCCAACAGAGCCAAATAAATAAATATTTTTAAAAAATCAGTGGCAGCGGGCGCTGTGACAGCACTTATTTCTGCTCTGTGGTCACATCAGCACCTGTGGATCAGCCTCTGCCACAAAACCGGGAACTCCTGGTTGGCACAGTCTACATCCTAGTCATGCTGTATCCCGCCATCTGGAGATTTAGTACAGACCCTTTCACAAAGTAGATGCCAGCAAATATTCCCAGCATCAAAGACTAAAGCATTGAAAGAGGCAAATTCTCTCTCGTTTGATGCATCTGGATGACATGATTTGAGAATCTGTCATGCTTGCTGGTGAAAAAACCTCTCACTCTTAGCTTATCTAGGTCTCAGATCCAAGTAAGCAGCTTACAGCCTTCAAGAGCTGCCACTATTTACTGAACATCTATGTACAGAGAGCTCTGTGAGAGGCACTTAAAAGTAATTCCTCCACTTTGCTCTTGAGCTGTTGGCCCCCACTCCACCTTCCACAGGACCCAGGACCCAGAAAGGGATATTCCAAAAGTAATGATTAAAAAAAAAAAAAAAAAGAAAATCAAACAATAGTGAGATCCCATTCCATCCCACTGCCAATAAAATTTCACTTATGTTTGTAACGCTTATCATCAGTCTTGATTAGGACGCTGACAAGTGGCTACCTGGAGTGAACATCTGTACAGCCTTCTGAAGGGGAGCCTGCCTTTCACACACCAAGAATCTTGAAAGTGTGTTTACTTTGAAAACACAATTTCACAAACATATGTCTTCTTCAAAAGTGCTATTATATAAAATAGTAAGCTAACAGGGAACTGTAAAAATACACTATAGTCCATCCAGAAGATGGAATACCATGTAACCACTAAAGACATGTTCTCAAAGGCCATTTGCACATGGGAAAAATGCTCAAAATCACATGTTAAGTGAAAAAACATGTCACAAAACCACAGTGCCTTGAGCCTATTTTCTAAATGTATAGCACACAGCCAAAAATCCCTGGAGGCAAATATGCTAAAATGTAAACAGTGATTGATTGCTTCTTATTAGTAGGATTATAGATATGTCTATGTCTACGGATATGTCTTGTTGCTATTCAGTCGCTCAGTCGTGTCTGACTCTTTGCAACCCCATGAACCACAGCATGCCAGGCTTCCCTGTCCTGCACAATCTCCTGGAGTTTGCTCAAACTCATGTCCATTGAATCAGTGATGCCATCCAACCATCTCATCCTCTGTTGTCCCCTTCTCCTCCTGCCTTCAATCTTTCTGAGTATCAGGGTCTTTTCCAAAGAGGCAGCTCTTCCAATGAGGTATCAGGTGGCCAAAGTTTTGGAGTTTCAGCTTCAGCATCAGTCCTTCCAATGAACACCCAGGACTGATTTCCTTTAGGATGGACTGGTTGGATCTCCTTGCAATCCAAGGGACTCTCAAGAGTCTTCTCCAACACCACAGTTCAAAAGCATCAATTCTTCAGCACTCAGCTTTCTTCACTCTCACATCCATACATGACTACTAGAAAAACCATAGCTTTGACTATACAGACTTTTGTCAGCAAAGTGATGTCTCTGTTTTTTAATATGCTGTGTAGGTTTGTCAAAGCTTCTGTTTCAAGGAGCAAGCATCTTTTAATTTCATGCCTGCAGACACCATCCACAGTGATTTTGGAGTCCAAGAAAATAAAGCCTGTCACTGTTTCGACTTTTTACCCATCTATTTTCCATGAAGTGATGGTCCCATGAAGGGACCAGATGCCATGACCTTAGTTTTCTGAATGTTGAGCTTTAAGCCAGCTTCTTCACTCTCCTCTTTCACTTTCATCAAGAGGCTTTTTAGTTCTTCTTCACTTTCTGCCATAAGGGTGGTGTCATCTGCATATCTGAGGTTATTGATATTTCTCCCGGCAATATTGATTCCAGCTCAAGCTTCATCCAGCCCAGGACTTCACATGATGTACTCTGCATAAAAGTTAAATAAGCAGAGTGCAATATACAGCCTTGACGTACTCCTTTTCCAGTTTTGAACCGGTCCATCATTCCATGTCCAGTTCTAACTGTTGCTTCCTGACCTACATACAGGTTTCTCAGGAGGCAGGTAAGGTGGTCGGGTATTCCCATCTCCTTAAGAATTTTCCTCAGTTTGTTGTGATCCACACAGTGAAAGGCTTTAGCATAGTTAATGAAACAGAAGTAGATGTTTTTCTGGAATTCTCTTGCTTTTTTTATGATCTAACAGATGTTGGTAATTTAATCTCTGGTTCCTCTCCCTTTTCTAAATCCAGCTTGTACATATGGAAACTCTCAGTTCACATACTAGCTAGCATGTGAAATGAGTACAATTGTGCGGCAGTTTGAACATTCTTTGGTATTGCCCTTCTTTGGGATTGTAATGAAAACTGACCTTTCCCGGTCCTATGGCCACTGCTGAATTTTCCAAATTTGCTGGCATATTGAGTGCAGCACTTTAACAGCATCACTTTTGTTTTGAAATAAGTCAGCTGGAATTCTCACCTCCACTAGCTTTGTTTTTGATGCTTCCTAAGGCCCTCTTGACTTCACACTCAGGGATGTCTGGTTCTAGGAGAGTGATTACACCATTGTGGTTATCGAGGTCATTAAGACTTTTTTTGTACAGTTCTTCTGTGTATCTCTGCCCCCTCTTCTTAATATCTTCTGCTTCTGTTAGGTCCATACTATTTCTGTCCTTTATTGTGCCCATCTTTGCATGAAATGTTCTCTTGTTATCTCTAATTTTCTTGAAGAGATCTCTAGTCTTTCTTATTCTATTGTTTTCCTACTTTTTGCATTGTTCACTTACGAAGGCTTTCTTCTCTCTCCTTGCTATTCTTTGGAACTCTGCATAGAATGTATACATGTCTTATTTTACTCTTTATATTTTCAGTATTATTTTTATTGTTGGTGGGGAAAGAACATACTTGGAGAAGTCACCTGATGGCTTCCTTCATTCTAAGCCTCCAGTTAGAGAGAACCAGCAGGAGTCTGGCCTTGGGCCTAGTGGAGGGCTGCACCTTGGGTGGACCATCCAGCAACCACTCACTGGCTCAAAACCTGATGATTCTAAGGGAGCCAGGGGACCCGTGTCACCCAGTGATGACAGCCCTGGTGAGCACCCTCTGTGTTTCCCCTGACTCCACTGCTAGCTCCCTCCCCAGTTCTGTAAATCATACAGAATCTGAATCTCCCCTCTTTGTTTCTGTGCAGTTGAACCCTTGCCTGGGATGAAGGAAGTGACCGCTGGCAAAATCCTAAGAAAGATGACTCTAGGGATTGGAAACTTGGTGTCAAACCCTGTAGAATGTGCACAACTAAATCTGACAGCCCGACTCACTATCTGCAAGAATCTTCTAGGTAGAGCTGAGGGCTGTTTCTTGCTTTTAGAGCCACCCATCCCACAAGAAGGGAAAGCTCAGATTTTGTAAGGCACACACGGTCTCTCCCAGGTAGCACTATCTTTATTCCCTCCCCTGCTCTCATTTCCATCTGGGACAGGCCCCTGCCCTGTAGAGGATGGAGAATATTTCCTCTTAGGCTGCCCTGGTGCAGCTCTGGCCCAACCTGAGCAAAAGAGAGCAGGCAGCACTCTGGGGAAGAACTGGATTTGGCGCCCTCTTTGCCACCTCACCTGTCTCAGTTTCCGTCTCCCATCTATCACCTGAAAAGCAGAGGTTTCTAGAACTTTTTTTAAGTATTGGAACTTTTTTAAAAAACTAAAACTATATGCAAGCTAGATCAGATAACATCAGAGGTGCTCTGGTTGAGGGGATGGAAGAAGAGGAAAACCTCTGCTTTCTCACCCTCTCCAGCACAGCCCCTGGCACCCTCCAGAGGAACCGAGGCAGCTTGGAAGGCATGCTCTCTCAGGATGCCCCTTGGCCCACCCTCCTAAGTCCTTCCGTTCTCCGTGAGGCAAGCTTACCGGTCGACAGCGATGATCCCAAGGGTGAGCATGCTGGCTGAGCTGATGAGCAGGTACAGGAGGGCTGAGAAGTTGCACCAGACCACTCCGAAGATCCATTCCCTCCGGATGGAGCTGGTCACCACAAAAGGCAGCACCAGGACAGACAGCAGGAAGTTGGACAGGGTCAGGCTGAAGACGAACCTGTTGCTGAGCGTAAGCAGGTAGGGCTTCCTGTACAAGGTGATCACGATGAGCAGGTTGCCCAGGCAGACAAAAACAGCGATGACGACGATGGCGATGAGCTCTGTGACGCCGCCGCCGCCCTGGTCCCCGGCCGCCTCGGTGAGGTTCCTCAGCTCCTTCCTGTGGCCGAGGGAGGAGTTGAGGCTCATGGTCAGTGCACCTCAGCACGGGGTGGGCCGAGCATGCTGGACGGCTGCAAAGACAAGCCCCGGGGACAGAAGAGCGGTCATCAAACCACAGCACGTGCACTCGGCAGAAGGGCAGCCACGGCCCCCAGGGTCCCAGTCAGCTGCCCTCACGCAAGCTTTACAGAGGCAGCCGGTGTTCCACAATCAACTCTCCATGTGACTCACTGTATCCCCCTGAACAATGCACTCCCCCAGTCTAAAACCTCCTGTCCACTCTCCCCAGGGCCAGTGGTTAAAAACCTGTAGTGTGCTTAAGAATCTCCTGCAGTACTAGCTCAAAGAGCTGATTCTTGGGCTCCACCCCTCAAGATTCTAGTCCCAGAGAACAGAGGTACAGCCTAGGCGTCTGCATTTTAGACAAGCACGAGACAGGTGATGCTGATCCAGTCCACATGCAGTCCACATAGTTTATGTGGACTGTTGCTTCTGGACCCCGAACCAGCAGCATCAGTGCCAACTGGGGCTTATTAGAGATGCAGAATCTTGGGTCCACCTCTGAATTACCGAATCAGAGCCTGTGTGCTAACCCCACTCCTGGTTTGATTCTTGTGCCCATTAAAGTTGGACGATAAGATTGCCATAGGGATCAGTCTGTGATCTCCAAGCAGGGTTTTAACAACTACAATTCATACCAAGACACTGCTGCTGTTATCAGCCATGGGGATGAAGGGCAAGGAGCCAACACTAAAGATACATGAATAAGAGGATAAGAGTTTGAGGTCTTTGCTCACAAATACCCTTTTTGGGGCAGTCCCTGCTCTCAGGATGCTGGCTCAGGTTCTCAGCAAAAACTCAAAGTTGACATATTTTAACATCAAATCCTACAAACAAATGTTTCTCCAAAATTTTCATCTACTTTAACTAGCCAAAAAATCCCACAGATCATTTTCCCCACCTGCTTTTATTCCTGACAAAGAGAAGACACCAGAGGGAAGGAAAGATTGCTTTCCACGAGCAAGGCAGCAAGAACCCTGGTGCCTAGACTGCCTACACAGCAGCAGCCCATGGTCTCTGCTTGACCAGAACCCTCTGTCCAGACACCTTTGGCCATAAGAAGCTGGTAGGTAAGGAAGGCAGCCCTTCCCCTTCCCAGCAGCCCTAAAGGTCAGTTTAGAAAGTCCCCCTTTACAGCAAGCCTCATTCATAGGTCACAACCACAGATCCTGCCAGCTTGAACAGCATCAAGCAATTCTCACCCCACCTACCCTTGACAGCCTTCAAACACTTCACAAATGACTTGCTTTCTTTGCTCCAGATTAAATCTCCCAGGTTCCTGATGTGACTTCTGGACTCTTTACTAACTCAGACTTCCTCAGTTGCTCACCAATTTCAATGACCCTATTGATTTGTGGTCCTCTGAATTGAACATACCATTCTGGATATCTGGTAAATGGTGAGTATAAAGGGAAAATTTTCTCCATCATCAGGATAATCTTCTACTATTGTTCATTCTAAGAGTGCATTTTCTTTTAGCAACTGTTATTACCCTGTTGGACTTATACAAATGTGTGGTCAGTTAAAACCCAAGGTTTGTTTATACACATATGAGTTGATGTAAAGGCAAGTGTCCCCAGGACACCTGCTTATGGAATTCGTGTTTTTAAGCCTAAGTACAAAACACCATTTTATGCATTTTGGTTCATATTTCCAGGCTGCTAAAATATTCTGAATTTTGATTCAGCTATGCAGTATGTTAGGTACCCCAGTTTTGTGTGATAAATATACTTTATAATTACACCTTCTGTTTCTTTGTTAGCTTATTCTTGGATTTTATTCCTTCAGTTCTAAATTTTGTTCATTCTTATAGGTAAATTATTAACTGGTTCAATCCCTGGGTTGAGAAGATCCCCCAGAGAAGGAAATGCAACCCATTCCAGTATTCTCACCTGGAAAATTCCATGGACAGAGGAGCCTGGTAGGCTGTAGTCCATAGGGTCGCAAAGAGTCAGACACGACTGAGCAACTAAGCACATCTCAAATAAAGGTCCTATAAGCATGTTATTGGAGAAGGAAATGGCAACCCACTCCAGTATTCTTGCCTGGGAAATCCCATGGACGGAGGAGCCTAGTGGCCTACGGTCCACGGGGTTGCAAAGAGTCGGACACGACTGAGTGATTTCACTTCACTTCACTTCACTTCAAGCATGTTATACTTAACTGTATAAGTGATGACACTGCAGTAAAGAAAACAAATTCTGAGTCATTAGACAAATGACAAAATGGGAGAAAATACTTAAAACGTATATCACAGAAGGACTAATCATTCTAATTTATAAGGAATTCCTAAAAATAAAAAGGTAGAAAAGTGGGTAAAAGACATTTTTTTAAAAATGGCAACTATATGAGATGATGGCTGTTAACTAAATTTATGGTGGTAATCGTTTTGCAATATTCACATACATCAAATCATCATGTACCTCTGAAACTTATACAGTATTATATGTCAAATATATCTCAATAAAACTTGAAAAAAAACATACACAGAGAGTTCACAGGAAAAGATACACTAATTGTACTTAAATGTATGAAAAGATGTTCCGTTTCATTCAAAATAACAGGAATGGACATTAAAATTACACTGAAGTACTATTTCTTTCCTTTCAGGCCAGTAAAAATTCAAAAGTTTAGCAACACTCTCTGCTGGGGAGGCTGTGGGGAAGCAGGCACTCTCCTACCCTTCACATGGGCATGCGAAGTATAAGAACTGAAGGTAGGAGGACCTGGCAATACCTAACAAAGCTACAAAGGCACCTAACCTTTGATCTAGCAATTCCAGTTCTAGATATTTACTCTGAAGATATAAGTTCATAATATAAAATAATAGATGCACAGGGTTATTTTATTCGTTAAGGCAGTTATTAAAAAAAGAAAATGTCTGAGAAAAGGGGAGAAATAACAGATTTGCACATTAAATATACATAAATATACGTGACTCCGACAGTAAAGAACCTGCCTGCAATGCAGGAGACCTGGGTTCGATCCCTGAGTCAGGAAGATCCCTGGAGAAGGAAATGGCAACCCACTCCAGTATTCTCGCCTGGAGAATCCCATGGACAGAGGGGCCATGGGGCCGCAAAGAGTCGGACACGACTGAGCAACTTAACACATTCTCACTCTTCACATTTAATTATGCAAAAAGAAAAGTAGGAAAGATAACCAGAAACTAAGATACAGATGGAAGTAGACTTCTCGAAGTATGTTTTTACAGTTTTTATTTTTTTCTTGAAAGGTAGATTATGTAAAAAATTTTTTTAATTTTATTTACTTATTGTTGGCTATGCTGGGTCTTTGTTGCTGTGTGGGTCTTTCTCGAGTTGCAGAAAGCAGGGGCTACTTTTCGTTGCAGTGTGTGGGCTGCTCATTAGGTGACTTCCTTGTTGCAGAGCACAGACTCTAGGGTGCTCGGACTTCAGCAGTTGGGTTACGTGGGCTCAACAGTTGTGGCTCCTGGGCTCTAGGGCACAGGCTCAATAATTGTGTGCAACATGTGGGATCTTTCCGTATCAGGGACTGAACTAGTGTCTCCTGCATTCTTTACCACTGAGCCACCAGTGAAGTCCCACAGTTTTGGGACTTTTGAACCATGTAAATATTTTACATACTAAGTTAAATAAAAATGCATATAAAAAGTAAATGTATAACTGATTGCAAACAGAAAAAAATAAGCCAAACTATGTGTTAGATTGCTAATAATCAAACAAAGAAAAGAATTCAGTCAAGTAGCTTTTAAATGCAGTGTTTTGACTATAAACTCTTAATGGTATATATTGTATAGACAAGAGAACCTCTAACTTTACACAGCAGGTGAGATGTTGTTAATGGTGTTTTAAGTTTACAATTCTTTCTGAGTGTAGAGCAACTGAATATACACGCTTACATTGGGAAACACATTTCTAACTATGGGAGAAGGAAGAAACAAATCACAGAATAGAGACAGGTGAGGAAGAACCCTGTGGTGTTAGCTTGCTTACTGCAGGTATCTGTATGAACTCACTATTCAAATATAAATATAAAAACAGGTTCAAGCAACTTCCCAGAATGCAGTTAGAAAGATTAAGAAATTTAAAACATAAAAGGCAAATGAGAGGATGAACAGGAAGTACTTCATGAGGTATAATTACTTTAGCCAAGCAAAGCAGTGTCCCTGTAATATGTCTTATAATTACCAGCATGCTCCTCTTTATTCCCACTAAACTGTTTGCTCCCTGGGAGTGAGGATGAACCTCACCTTTCATAAAAACATAGTACTTTTTTTCATTGGCAACAGCATGAATGGACATGGAGAGTATTATGCTAAGTGAAATAAACCAGACAAAGACAATTACTGTGTGTTATCACTTATATGTGCAATCTAAAATATGAAACTAATTTCTTTCATCAGTGTTTTATAGTTTTCTATGTATAGGTCTTTTGTTTCTTTAGGTAGATATACTCCTAAGTATTTTATTTTTTTTGTTGCAATGGTCAATGGTATTGTTTCCTTAATTTCTCTTTCTGTTTTCTCATTGTTAGTGTATAGGAATGCAAGGGATTTCTGTGTGTTAATGAATATAATAAAAAAGAAGCTGACAGATAATAGAGAACAAACTAGTAGCTACCAAAGGCATATGGGAGGGAATTAATTAAGAGGTACAAACTATTAGGTATACAATAAGCTACAATGAGGGGTACATATACAAGCAATGCCTGTGTTTATCGCCTGGTCATGCAGAATGGGGTGATCAGAGTGGAGATTGCTCAGGTCACAGCACAAGTGCCCTGTTTCCAGGTATGTTCTGCTCTTGTCTTTCCACCATCATAGGTTCACCCACCTTGATTCCATCACTATTTTTAAAGCTCTTCAATAAAGTGTAAATTGTGGCTCAAATGGTAAAGAATCTACCTGCAATGTGGGAGACCCGGGTTTGATCCCTAGGCCGATAAGATTCCCTGAAGGAGGGCATGGCAGCCCATTCCAGTAT